ATCACAAGGTCAGGAAAAGACAGGCATCCAGCTCTGCCATTTTTCTGGTGACCCAGAGAGCTTCTCTTGTCACCGCCGAGTTTATGTTTCCAGCCTTGCCAGTAGGACACTTCTCCCCTGCCACGGCTGAACTGACCCACGGGCAGGCAGCCTGAACCAACTCCATTTGATATTTGTTTGCTACAGCCACACTACGGCTTCAGCGATCCCTCCCCTGCAGGGCTGCTCACCTACTCGATAGTCACCTTGGGAAAAGGTCACCTTCCCAAAGGGCATCGAGGATTGGCATGGGTCTGGCCTGAGGCTCACAGTGGGTACAGCTCCTTCAGTCCCACTTCTCAGCCCTCCTCCCTCACACCTTCCCCCCCCCGCCCCGCTCTAAATTAACTTGTTCCCATTATAGCTCTTTGGCCTTAACCGGTCGAAAAAAAAGGAAAACACACCCCACTGCTGCTTGTGCTGATCCCACTGCTTGAACTCTCAGCCTCACTGGCAAGACTAAATATTCCTCATCTCCTTGTGAAACTTCATTCCCAGGAAATGAAGGTCTATGAGCCCTGCTAAGATATAATTAATGGGGAAAAGTGCCTGGACCACAGGAGACAGTAAAGCAGTGTCCAGAGCTCCAGTGGGGGGAGGTAAGTACAAGACCGTTTTTGTGGAGCACGCAGCAGTGTGAATGCACGTGTTACGCATCAGCCATAATGGATGCAGTGGCTGACTTATAATAACTCTTAGGTTATGACAAAAAAAAAAAGGCGGCGTTTGTTTGGCTCCTATGCGACAGAGCACAGCCATGCATAACAGCTCTGTTAATTAATGCAAATGATCCCTGCCCAAAGGGAGGTCTGTTCTCATTGCACAAAAAAACATATTTTGCCGAGAGTGAAAGGAAATGCTCTAGGCAATAAACAGGGAACGGAGGGTCCTCCAGGGAAAGGTTCAGAGTTTGCCCTTTCCTCAGGAAGACCTTGGAGAATGGCTTTTTGTTGACAGTCCTGGATGGAGATTTTGTGCCTGCCAGACTAGGAGACCACAATGACACATCCTGTGCAGCTGGCCAGATGTTGGGGGACAGTCCTTGTTGTGGAGAAGGTGACATTCCCTACTCTAAGGCATGACATACAGCCATTCCTTAAATTCATCGCTTGTGTGCCTCTTGCTGTATTCATACCCCAGTGCCTCTTTTCCGGTAGATCAACTTTACAGCTGTTTTAGGGGCAGTGCTGCATCTCCCATAGAGGCCCTGGAATTAGACCTTCAGCTTAAACCCCAAGTCCTTGCCACAGCCCACCTCTACCCACCCTAGTGCATCATGTCACTAATACGCAAGGAGGAGAGCGGCTCCTTGCCCTGGAACAGAGGGCAGCACAAACCAGACTAACAAGGTGGCACCGCGCTACCAGCTCTCCTTTCAGTGGACCTCTCCTTTTGCTTGTACCTGGGAGATGGACACACTAAGCAGAAGTCCTTGTTTGCCTGCAGATCTCCTCTGACTCTGCCCTGAGCAAGACGGGGCTGCTAGCAGCACTACTTCCGTTGTGCCCAGCGAGTTCAGATCTCTGTTCTGAGTCGTGGAGCCAAAGCAGCGCTCTCCTCAACAGCAGAGCAAAACCCGTCCTATGGTACTGCAACTGCATGGACCTCATCTTGGGGAAAAAGAAGCTTGGCAGTGGAATCACAGGCAGGAGTTGGCGCTTCCAAGTGCGTTTCCATCTCCCCTACACCAGGAACCAGAATTCTTGTTTTTAACCCCTCAGAGGTGTCAGAGGCCATTTCCTCGTCAGCAGCCTCCTGCAATTCAGCGTTCCCCTGAAGAACTGAAATACACACTATGCATCAAAGCTCAGGCAAGGGTTAGACTAGGGGCTGGCCAAGGGGATACAGTCAAGCCCCTGCTTAGCTTGTTTGGCTAACCACAGGCAGCTGCTTTCCTCTTTGGAGCAGGGCTGGGGGCTAGACGTGCTCCTGTGCTCCTGGGGACCGTTCCTTCCCTTCAACACATGAACAGCTGAGCTGACAGTAACAACAGCTGCTGCTGTGCTGTTGCAAAGCAAGACCGCTAATACAGCATATACCAACACCCAGAGATGTAACTGATACCCCACAGGCCTGCAACTTTTCAACTTCCTTATTGCTTTTGGGGAGGTCATATTAACTTGGGTGTAGGACACCACCAGGCTGAGCTATCCCTTTTTGCGGAACCCTGTTCACTGCCCTGAAGCCCGCACCTGAAGGGAAGCTATTAAACTACCAAATGAGTAACAGGATTTTTGCATCAGTAATCCTCTTACAGTAGGCATTTCCAAGAGACCAGAGCTGCTTCACAAGCTACAGCAGACATATCGCACCTCCCCTTACACCTCAAACTTGGTGTCCCAAATTATTGCTTCTTTCAGAGGGCCTGGGACTGGCTATTACAAAATTGCATTCCTGTCCTTCCTGCTCCCCTCCCCACAATAAACAGAATTGAATAGGCTTGGAAGTTATACAGTGCTATATACTCGGGGCTCAGATGCAAAGCTGGCACTAAATCTAGGCAATTGTCCATGCCAGAACCTGTCTTGCTAACGTCACTGATACAGATGGAAAACTATGCCCCCTAAACACCACGTTTTGGACTTCTGCTCCTTCTCAACCATTGTAACACTTTACCTGCATCCAGGTAAATTCAAACAGACACTGTTGGTATGCAGTAGCTCATATTCAGTCTTTATACAAGGATAATCATGTGTTCTGCCTAGAAGAGCCAAAACAAGTAAATGAGAGGAAGCAAAGGGACCTACCACATCAGGACCCCTCCTAGGCAATTACAAACACCACTCCCTTGCTTGCTGCACAGCCAGCTTCATATCCTCCAAAGTATGCCCTGTGCTGCAAGAGGCCTTTGATTTCTTCCACTCATCACAGCTAGATGCAAGACAACACAGCCAAACAGCAAGACGGGAAAGCAAGTGAACAAGCTGCTTGAACCTGCAGATCCAGTCACTGTTAGTGCATTGGCTTATTTACGGGTGCACCTACAGAGAGGCAAGGAGAGCAAATATTGACTTAGCTATGACTTTAATGTGGCCTGAAGCAAAAAGAGCTGGCATTCCCGGCACCAGCTCTGCCTTCAGAGGTGTCAGGAGGGACAGTAGGAGTAGGAGGTTGGCAGCCTCAGCCAGCCAAGGTTGAAGACTTGGACGCGTAGCACCCCTCCGCCAGCTCCTGATGAATATGGTAGAGGACACGAGTGCATCAAGAGCATACAACCTTGGAGAGCTGCAAGGACAGATGGACATTATGAGCATGCACTGAACCCCAGACACTTCCCTCCACGCGCCTTCCCTCTCATTTCTACCCCAAAGACCTGCAGAGCCCCCGCTGCAGGATTAGTTGCAGCACCTCCTGCCCACACTCCCCTTGAGCCCACATCCACCTTCTATTTCCCAAAGCCCCATCCTGTGGGCAGGAGGACACAGCTCGTGCCATGTCTGCCAATCAGTGGGATTAATCCATCCTCAGCTAGCCTCAAAGCAGCACAGTGCACCACAGTGCACCACAGAGAGAGCTGAGTCTGCAGGGCTGAGAAACCCCAGCTCTCAGTAGGGTTTGGGTTTTTTTTGTTTGTTGTTGTTTTTTTTTAATGAATTAGGCATAACTGACACGCACTGAATCCTCCTGTCTAGACATCTGCAGAGAAGTGACAAGCTGCCAGGGAGGATGTGGAGCCTTGGCAAGGGGGTGGAGAAGACAGGGGAAAACTGCACACAATTGCCAGCTCTACAGCACAGAGACGCTGCTGGCCTCAGGCAAGGAAGAACATTCAGCGCATTGATCCAGCTAGTCAGTGTCTTTCAGCAACTCAGTGAGTTGTAATCAATAGGTTCTGGAGCACACAGAAGGCTGGAGGTCTTTCCTAATTAAAGTCTGCTCCCCATTACTCCTGGGCAGTTTTGTATGGAAACTTAGCATGAAGTTTCTCTCATTTACCCCATCTCGCGCTCAAAAGTGCCTTTGCTCAGAGAGGACGGCGTGCAAGGCAGAACCTCAAAGCCTGCACCAGGACATTCCCATACCTTGAAGAGATAAAGGGCTCTAGCCCGGACAGCTTGGTGCCAACCTCGCTGCACACTCTTCTTCCTCTGTCACAGACACTTCACACAGGCAGCAACTCTTCCCCTACAGATATCTTCAAATTCAGCTTTCACCTTCAGCGTTTTGCACACAGGGGATCACAGAAGCTCTAAGCAGGACTGCACACCTGATGGATTCAGAGGAGTCTGTGCTAACATTTGGGTCGTATTAAATAATTGGTCATAAAGGTCAGTACCTGAATAGGTTTGGGACTGCTGAATTCCCAGGCCGTAAAGATGCCTTGAGATACTCAGCTAAATGTGCCGGTCTCCAGCTACACCAGGATCAGAGAGCAGTTCCTACAGTTCAGCACAAAGAACATCAAAATCTAACCAAAAGGAGCCCTTTGCCTCTGTCAAGGATCAGAGACATGGGTTGCGTCTTAACTCCTTCTCCCCAGTGTCCCCAGCAGACACTGGAGTTGAGATACTGTCATGGCCAGTGCTACTTTACGGCACAGGCAGTGTCAAGCCTATACAGACAGGCATCAAGTAAGTCTCCTCAGCAGTCAGTAAAGAGTGATAGTTCAGTTTCAGCTGTACTATCCATCACCATGGTAGTCCTGCTCTCCCTCTGGCCTCCTCTGTGACAGACATCTCCATCCTCAATTCATTTTTCAGACAGGTAAACAGAGAAAAGACTAGAAAGCTCAGGTCACTCGGAAGTAGCCCGTATCAAAGGGACCCAATATTCCTGGCTCCCAGGCTTGTTCAGGAGCTGCAAAATCCTTTGTCAGCGGCCGCTCAAACAGGGATTGTGCATTTTACTTGCCTGCTGTGCAGGATGATGGTGTCTTGCAACAGGTGGCACTGGACCAGTACAGAATGGGTTGTTACCACTCAATGCTCTGACATCGGACGGAAGTAGTGATGATACTCCACATGACTTATAACTTGGCTTCTAAAGAGAACGGTGCCTATCTGAAGTAAGGCAATGTAACCTAGTGACTACAGCAGCAGAGCAGAAAAAAAAAGAAAAAGCATTCAAGTCTCCTGCCTGCCACTGGGTGAGTGAATATTTTACACATAGATAAGCCAGGGAACAATGCTGCTGTCAATGCTCTGTAAAGCACTGCTTATGAATGACTGTATGAACCAGGAGGTCATGTTCCTGAGAGCCCTTATTCCTCTTCCCCTGCCACTCAGAAGTGAGAGAGATCCACAGGTACTCAGCTTGTGCTTATTTCCTAGAAGATAATGGGATCAATGCACAAGAGCTTGCTGAGCCCTCAGAGCCCGTCTTCTCTCTGCTCAGAGGCTCTGTTCATAGTGCAGTGTTTCCTCCTAGGCAGCCTTTTGCGAGAGAGAGGACAGTCAGCCTAAAACAGAACTGGAGAGTGATGAAAGCAACCTGGAGATGCAGGAAAACAGAACCAAACTATGCAAGGAGAACACCCAGCACTGGGTTCCTAGTAAGCCCATGATATGGAGCCACATCTCATATTGAACCACATCTGGCTAGAGGTCAAATCTCTTCACCTGAGCCACTCCAAAACCGGAAAACCTTTACCCAGGATGCTGTGACAGACCATCCATCATGGAAACCTTCCATGAGTCCTGGATCATTTACCACACGCTGCACAGAGCTTTCACACCTTCGTGGGCAGGGCAAGGGTTCGGCAGCGTTTCCTGGCCAAAGAAGGGAAGCTGATGCAAACAGATGCCTCTAGACTCTTTGCATTCAGTTATGTACAGTCCCTCACCATGTACAGCTAAAGCCCACTGAAGGCAAAGGCCAAGTTCACCCAGCTGTACCCTGCGCTAAGGGGATGTTGTCTTCTGTCGGGCAAGGGAGAGTGCAGGAGTTCAGCCCAGTCCAAGCACAGATAACATGCCAGATCGTACAGTCACAGGCTGCATCCTGACCCCATCCCTTCAGCAGAGACTGCATGGCCCACAGCACATTTACAGACAACTTACAAAGCCTCCTACCAGCCTCAGTCACCGTGTGGGTTGGCAATGCAGGCACACAGGACCGTGTCGGTAGATCTGCACTCCCTCTTCTAAACAAATTCAATGCATCACTCTGTGGAGCAGTAGAGCTTATTTTCAAGCCACAATTAGATAGTCTTCTCACATCCTTTTGCAGGCAGCAAGGGCCACATACATGAAAGCTAAGCTATAGGGAGCATGTGACACTATGCCTTTGAGTTTGCTGGCACACTGGGGGCCTGTCAAGGGCAGCGTGTCCCAAACCCTGGGAACTTCAGCTGAAGAAGCTCCAACTCCTGTCCATGAGGACTCGCATCCTTTAGAAAAGACAGCAGGATTTGCAGTCAGTTCTAACAGGCCAAACAGAAAGCGTAAAGTCTCTCTGACTGACCAAGAGCAGCTTACCTAAAGGATCGGAGACAAGTTACTAGGACCTGAAACAATGCAGAATCAGCACTGAGACTTCAGTGTGGCTGCTCCATTTCTGAGTTGCCGAGCCTGAACCCACCAAAGCAAGGCCTGAACCCAGAACAGTCTCTCCAGGAGAGCTCCAGTATTCCGAGCAGGCCTGCCTTAATTTCCAGACCGATTCTGATGAGAGCAAGGGTCGATGGCCAGCAGAGGTGCCGGTACAGCAAAGACGTTTCATTGCCACCCTCACCAAGCATCCTTGCTACCCAAGATGCTACAGAGCAACTCCATTTAGATCCTAGACCATCAAGCCAAGAGAATAGACCGCTACTACCCTTGCCAGCTCCTGGTCTCGTCTGAATTAGACGCTATTTGCCCAAATCGATGTATTAGTCAGTTCTCAGGAAGGAAACTCAGATCGTTACACCTATGGTCCCCGCTATTTGCCCAAATCGATGTATTAGTTCTCAGGAAGGAAACTCGGATCGTTACACCTATGGTCCGTAAGAGCCTCAGTCACTGCTCTGCTGAACAAGGTATCTCCACGGGAGGCTCATGGATCAGGAGAGAAACTTTGGGTGCAGAGGGGTGAGATCCCACAGAGGTGATTGCCCAGCACGCAGGCATCATAGGTCTATTGTAAGGTCCTTGCCCCTCTCCCCACCCTTACAAACAGCACATGCCTTGTGACCACCAGGCCCGAGAACAGGAGGCAGCTTTCTGAGGCTTGTTTCAGTTGTGCCCCATCCTAGGACGCGAAGTCACCTCCATCACTCTAGTGCACTTGGAGACCGCCAGAATTGAAAGTACATATAAAACCACATGTTGCTGAATCATTCCTGAACTAACCTCCTTCCTCATGGTCTCCAGCAACAGCGCGTGCCCCCAGATGGCTTTCATCGGACAGCTGCCATTAAAGGTAACAGAGAGCTGACTTACCTTGCAGAGAGACCCCATAAAAGCGAGGCCACCGTTCCCGCGCTTTCCTAGCTCGGCCCCAGGAGCCACGTCCACCAGCGG